TTGAGTTAATGATAGAGTTGTGTTCCTCAAAATAATGTCTTTCTACTGAATTGAAACCTAAGTTATAAGTAAAAAAGTTGCGGAAAAAACATAAGTTATAAAAAAAGTTTATACGCCGTCTTCTAAAGTTTTTGTTTTTTAAATCGTTTTATCTCAAAACTAAAAAATGTGGAGATAGAACAAAATAATTCTAACGTCGCGATATATTAAATAAACCTCAATTAACACAACTATATTATTCATTTATTCATTGCCATTTAAATTATGCTTTTTGCGTTGTGAACATCGAGGCGAACAGACGCGTTTTTCTAACGGTAAAATAATTTTTAAAAATTTTTTTATCTTGTTTAATAAAATTTGGAATGTCTAAATCAGAAGAATTAGTCTCAATTTCTATGATGAGAGAACTTCTTAATATTCAAAAAGAAACAATTCTATCTTTTTTCCGTGAATCACTCTTTAGAACGAAAAGTTTGAAAACTTTCAATCTAGTTTTCAAGAAGTTCGGCGAGAACTTGATGAAGTAAAATCTGGCTTAAATTTTGTTGGTGATGTTTTCAATGATAAAGCTAGAGCAGTTGAGGAAAAAATTAATAAAGTTCATGACGATTTATCAAATGTAAGAAAAATGCGGGGTAAAATATCTTCGGACAATATTGAATTAAAATTGAAAAGTGTCGATATTGAAGACCGTAACAGAAGAAATAATTTAAGAATTGACGGGATCGTCGAAAATAGTGAAGAAAAAGATTAGGAAATCAGAAAAAAAAAGGGTAAAACAACTATTTAAAGATAACCTAGGTATTGAAAAAGACATTATGGTTGAACGGGCTCATTGAGTGGGAGCAACTAATGATAAACGTGAGCGAACAATAGTCTTGAAACTCCTTGATTACGAGGATAAAAAAACAATTATTGAGAGAGCAGTTAAATTAAAAGGAACCAATATTTTTTTAAACGAAGATTTTAGTTTTAAAACTCGAAAAATTCGAAAAGATTTTTTTGATCAGGCGAAGATACATCGTCAAAATGGCTATTGTGCAAAAGTTGTTTATTGTTCACGAATTTCGAGAAAACACCCGCAACACAGATGTTAATCCGAAATGCGTCAGCGAGTAAGCGTTTTGAGTATTTTTTTAAAATTAAGTTGAATATTTTTAAATTAGTTATTTTGAAAAAAAAACTAAAAAAATGGCGTCGCTTTTTTCAGAGAAATTAGATTTTCATAATTTAAATTTAGATCTTTTTGAGGACAACTTTATAAATAATCTATCTGAAGAAAACATAAATATTTTTCAAGAAACTCAAACCAACTTAATTAACACACCGTATATTGATCCTTTTGATTTTAAAGTAAAAACAGATGATGGTTATTTTCTGTATAACACATAAACATTAGAAGCATGCAGCAAAATTTTGATAAACTTAAAGAATTTTTAAATATTTTAAATTACACGTTCGACATCATATCTCTTTCAGAGACTTGGCATGATACAGAAAGTACTCTTGAATTAAATTCTAATTATACTTTACCATTATACAAACTAATTAGTCAACCACGAGGTGGTGGGAAAAAAGGAGGAGGATTAGGAATTTATGTCTTGGAAAAGTATGCTTTCAAGATAAAAAACATACTTTGCTTTTCCAATAATAATTATGAAAGTCTTTTCATTGAAATTATTAATAAAAAATACCGAAACGTTTCAGTTGGATGTGTTTATCATCCACCAAGTGGAAAAATAAAAACCTTTGAAACTTTTATCAAAAATACGATTATGAAAATAAATAAAGAAAATAAAACATATATTACTGGTGACATAAATCTTGATGCTCTTTCTAACACAAAATTTTCAAAAATAAAATCTTTTTTTGATATGCTTTTTAAATTGAATGTCTTGTCAACTATTAATAAACCAACGCGAGTAACAAAAACCTCGGCAACAGCAATAGACAATATTTTTATTAATAATTATTTAGAAACGACATTTGAAACCGGTATATTTATGACAGATATTAGTGATCATTTCCCGGTTTTCATAAAAACAAAAAATCTAAAAGCTATGACTGATTGTCATTCAAAAATCATACATTTTAAAAAAACGAAATTGAAAAATGAGTAACACTAATAAATTAACAAATAGACTAAAACAAGAAACATGGAACAATGTATATAAATGTCAAGATACGAATGGAGCTTACAATGCTCTTTTTTACATTTTTGGAGTACTTTAATGAAACATGTCCTCAAGAGATTATAAAAATTAAGTCAAAAACAATCGCTAATCCGTGGATGGATAAATCGTTATAAAAGTGCTCAAAAAAAAAGCAAAAACTTTACAATAAATTTCTGAAAAATAAAAACATTGATAATGCAAAAAATTACAAAAATTATATATATTTTTACCAAGATCTCATTAAAAATGCAAAAAAAAAAAAAAATATTACAGTAATCAAATTAACAAATGCAAATTTGATTGCAAAAAAACATGGTCCATCATCAATGTCATAATGGGAAGAGAAAAACTAATTTCACCTTCTCTACCAAAACGAATTGTTATTGAAAACAACGATATATTTAGTCAAAAACAAATTTTGGAAGAACTCAATAAATATTTTACCAGTATTGGTCCAAATCCTGTAAAAAAAAAATAGTACCAACATCTGTATCATTTAAAACCTTCCTTAAACCAACGAACAATGTTATCATGCTTGATTATGAATTAACCTATGAGGAATTTGAGGCAGCTTTTTCCTCGTTAAAAAAAAAAGGCTCCAGGATTTGATGAGATATCTAGTAATATAGTTATTGGAAACAAACATAGTCTTACAAGACCTCTAATACATATACTAAAGCTTTCGTTAAATTCTGGGATATTTCCGGATGTACTTAAATTAGCAAAAGTAACTCCATTGTTCAAATTACCCAAATAAGTTTGGTTTTCAAAAAAATCTCTCTTCTGAGCATGCAATCATTGAAATAGTAAATCAAATAACTAATGGTTTTGAAAATAATAAATTTACTTTAGGAGTATTTCTTGATTTATCAAAAGCATTTGATACAGTGGACCACTGTATTCTCTTAAATAAATTAAGACATTACGGAATAATTAATAAAACTTATTATTGGATTAAAAGCTATCTTACAAACAGAAAACAATATGTAAATAATGCCCAATCTGGAGTGTTAAATGTCATATGTGGAGTTCCGCAAGGATCGATTCTTGGTCCACTTCTTTTTTTAATATATATAAATGACTTCTGTAATGCATCCTTAAAACTTAATTCAGTTATGTTTGCAGATGACACGAATTTATTTCTTACCAACAACAATATCAAGAAATTATATGCGGACATGAATATTGAACTAAATAAAGTAAATAACTGGTTTAAGGCTAACAAACTCTCACTTAATGCCGAGAAAACAAACTATATACTTTTTCATAAAAAAACACAAGAAGAAAATCTTCCTCTCAAGTTGCCGAACCTATTTATAAATGATAAATTAATTAAAAAGTTCAATCCAATATAAGATTCTTGGGAATCGTTGTTGATGAAAAATTATCCTGGCTTCCTCATATAATATATATCCAGTCAAAAATTACCAAAATCATAGGTTTAATGTATCAAGTTCGCTCGTACATCAATACAAATAGTCTTAAATTAATCTACTTTGGGCTAATTCACAGCCTCATCAGCTACGCAAATATTTCATGGGCAAGTACTCAAACAGCAAAGCTTAAGAAACTTTATAGTTTTCAGAAACATGCTTGTAGAATCATTTACTTTAAAAATAGGCGGGAACACGCTAATCCCTTGATGAAAGATATGAAAATGATGAATGTATTTGAAATAAATATCTACCAGCATTTAATTTTCATGTATTGTTACAATCACAATATCACTCCTATAAGCTTTAATAATAAGTTTGAGTTAAATAAAAATGATAACTATAAACTTAGAGCGAATATGTCGAACACATATAAACTGCCTAGGATAATAAATAAATATTCAGAATACAGTATTTTATATCGAGGTCCAAAAGTATGGAATATTTTTCAAAAAGGGTTCAAAGGTATGGTGAGTTCATTAAGTTCATTCAAGTTTTTAACAAAAAAAGAAATCTTTAAAACCTGTGAAACATTTTTTGTTAATAATGCGTTGGATAAATTCCCTTAAATACGTTTATAGAGCACCGCGGGAGAGCATTTAACAGGAAGTTCACGCCTCTTTCCGTACAAATGTTGCTTGTTGGGCTAGAGCTGGCGTCGAACCTCGGACCTCTGGGTTCTGAGCCAGAACTCTAACCACTGCGCCACGGCTGCTTTCGTTTTTCTACTTTTGTTTGTTGCTTGACAAATTTTATTAGCGGATTACGCATTTTGTTATGAAATTTTTATTTTGTATGTCATTTTACGATATTTTAATTAAATCTTGTTAAAGGGGTTCTATGATGACGATGATATTTTAATTAAATCTTGTTAAAGGGGTTCATTGCGATGACGTTCTATCATCCTCATCTTCTTTAAGCTCTTTTCTGTTTTACTTGTTTTGTTAAATATGTAGTGGAATTAGTAAAATTCTTTTGTTATGTAAACAGAGAAAAAAAAAATAAATAAAAAAAAAAAAAATAATAATAATATGGGGAAGCGCTCACAAAACCAAACTTAAATCTCTCTATCGACATCAGAAACACGCAGCTCGCACAATTAATTTTGGAAATCGTTTTTCAAGCTCAAAACCACTTCTTAAAGAAATGAAAGTTTTAAATATTTACGAACTAAATGTTTTGAATATTTTATGTTTTATGTTTAAATGTAAAGATAATCACCTAATGTATTTATAATTGTATATGTAATATATGTAATATAAATCTTTATAATTTGAAACTTAAAAACAAATATAATCTTCGTGCCAGTAAAAGTATCGAAAAGCCATTTTTCTAAGCTATTCTTCCCCACTGTGTTATAAACATTTTAGTAACACGATACACAAATATTTGCTTATTTTTTTAATATTGCAGTTCTTTTTGGCGAAAACACATAAATAATTTATATTTACAACTGTTTAAACTCAGATTCTGAACTTCTCTGAAAAAGCGGATCAAAACTTTCAATGTCATTTTGGTTTACTTGAATTTGATTCCATTTTTCCATGGCAAGTTTAACTTCATCCAGTTTCATTAAACCTTTTAAACCATGCTTTCCTAATTCAACAAGAAAAGGGCGTCCAACATTATTGTATCGCACTAGCTTATCGTTAATAATTTTATAATGGCGAAGGCAGCGTTTTTTGTCTGAAAATGCTTTAGGGAAAAGCTCTGCATTAACCTTTTCGATTTCTTTAACTACTTCTTCCTCTGAATTTCCGAAGAACTCATTTTCCCATTCTTCAGTTTTCTAAAAATATAATAATACATTAAAATTTCTGTTTATATCTATTTATGTCTGTTTATGTCTATTATGCAATGTATTTTTATTAGAAAAAAATTAGTTACCCATGATTCATGATAAAGCGCAGTAAGTAGGTAATAGGCGTAATCCTTGTTTTGCTTCCGAGTAGGACATCTATAAATTAAAATAACAAATATTATATTTTATATTTAACAAATTCTATAAGATAAATATTTAGCCACAACATACAAATGTGTTCTTAATATAATGTGTTTTAAATCTTAAAATAAATGACATTCTTTCTACTAGGGTTAGGACTATTGTAATTGTATTAACTTAATTTAGAAACAATAACATACTTGTAAATAAAATACTTGTGATTTACAACTATTGTAATAATCTAATGCAATAACAATAAATATTGTATTGCAATTCATCTTTATAAAACAATAACAATATCTGAAAAAAAAAACATATTGTAATGACTCAATGATTGCTGACCACCTAAATAATATTTAGTTGCGAAAAGCTGGCCAGATTTTTTAGTCGTTTTAAGAACATTTTAAAAAGCAAAAAAAAAAAAAAAAAAAGCGACAAAGAATAATTAGACCGATGAGAGACAATTACAAAAAAAAAAAAAAAAGTAGGCAAATAAAATATCTTTAAACGCGAAAAAACTTTAAGCTAAATAATTTACATTTAAAACAAATATTTTCGAAACATCGCTTTTTTATAATTTTTTTTATAAAATTAAGCGATGTTTTTTGTAACAACTTACGATTGTTTAAAAGGGAAACAAATATTCTTTATTTAACTAAGTTTGCACGATTTAGTTTTACTTAAGCTAAATTATTTTATAAATAAAAAAGTTAATTTTTTAAATACCTATTTTATGTTTCGCGTAGTTAGAAAAGTTTAACATATTTAAAGCGATTCTTCTTAGTAAGATAAACAAATGAAATAATTAAATCATTGAATTACTATAGGAATTAAATTATCAAGATAGAAATCAACTAAAAAGGTTAAAAATACTTAATGACCAGGAAGCGAAACTGCTTCACAATATCGCTGATGATGTTTAGTGAGTGGGCTTTTTAATTTTAATTAGTATTTAAAGCAGAAAAAAGTATAACGAGTTTTAAGAATGGCAACTTAAGCGAAAATAATTAGAGTTAGTAAACCAATATCTAGAAACTTTTCTTTATATCTAATTATTTGCTATTATATATTTGTGTTCTGTCGTGACCTCAGGCGCGATGCTTGTTCATCCGCGAGTTACTTTGTATGCGTTGTTTGTGTTTAGTAACCAGAAACTTCTTATACGTTTGTTACATAATTAGTTTTATTAACTTTAACGATTATAACTTTGAAAATGCAATTATGTTTGTAAGTCTTTGTTTAAATCATAAAAATTGCTTCAAAAGATCAAAAGACATTACGATAAAAAACAGATACACAAAATTACATTTACATAAAGAATACAATCTTTTTTAAAATAAAAAATAAGAATATACTAATAAAATCTATGATTTATAATAAACCTTTAAAATGTTGACAATTTAATTAATATATATTTAAAACATTTATTTTCGTAAACAAATAATATGTATTCTTAAAACAATGCTAGAAATCTCAAAACGTAACAAATCGTGAATAATACAATTTCTAAAACATTTTAACAGAATACTCTAGAACTTTATTTCGCTTAATCCAGTGTATTTTTTGAACCAATAGAATTAGTTTGTTTGTTAATTTGGCGGGTTTTTTGTGTTCGCAAATATTCTTTTTATTCTTTCGCACGAAGATAATTTGAGAACATTCTAGTTTATTATGTTTCCATGTATGTCCGTAAAACAAAATTCTATGTTTCGTACATAAACTTAAATGTTCTCAAAACAACTAAAAAACCTGGCCAGTTTTACGCAACTAAATATAATTTCCGTGGTCATTATTCGAGAGCGATCGCTCCCGCTTCCCGACCAAGCCTGACTACAATAACAATAAATATTGTATTGTAATTCGTCTTTATAATACAATAAAAATATATTGTTATTGTAATAAAAAGAATTATTTTAGAGTCAAAACTTAATGTTTTAACAGTCCAGTCTCTGAGATAAGTGACCTTGAAATAGGGTACAACTAATATATAAGTATTGAATCTGTTTTTTATTTTATTTTATAAACTTTATATAGCTCTATAAAAGTGAGTTTAATTGGGCCTATTTCTTTTACTGCTGGGGATAGACATGACTAACTACTACCATTTCTTCTACTAAGTTATTTGCTTTTACATTAGGCACCTATCCAATTGTTTCAAAACTTACTCAACTCACACTTACTCTAATATAACTTTGTCTTTTGTTTCCCTTCGGCTTTATGGCTGTATGTGTTTCATAAAGTAACTAAACATTTAGTTGCAAAGTTATAAAAAAGTTTTGTTGCATAAATCAAGAACCAATATTTATTTACTGTTCTAAACTGCCTCATTTTTCAAAAATGATCCACACAAAATTTATTGGTACGGTCTGATAGGTGATGAACAATCTGAAAACGTAGAAAATTTTTAACAAAACAAAAGTAGTTCACATTTTTAGACAATCTAATCGATAGTTACTCAGGTTAATGGTTCTTTGATTCCATAACGATGTAATTGATTACACATTAGCAGTTAGATATATTGAAAAAAAAAGCGCTTAATATAGTTAATCAATTAGTTTAGACGTCATCATCCGGTGAAACATGTCAATATCAGTTTAGACAAAATTATAAAAAAATATAAAATTTTACTTCTTATAGTAAATAATTATTTAATTACAAGCATATGATAAATTATATATTAATATGATTTTGAATGAATATTATTAATGTTAATTCTAAATAAATTATTATTGAAACAGTGATATTATTGAACTCAAAATAAATAAAATTTGTATATGTAAATGGTTTCTAGAAACTTAATATTTATTAAGTATACGTAGCATATATACTTTTTTGGCTTCCCTGGCTTCACTTCACTTCTCAAAATAAATAAAATTTATATATATATAAATGACTGCTGAAAACGAGCGTCACGGCACCCCTAAATTATCTCGTGCTCAAACAATAATAAATGCGTGAAAAAAGAGTCTAAATACTATAAATACAATACCTATTAGACTTTGAAATAGTAATATAATACATCAATGTACTTATTGTAATTATTTTTTATCCCAGCAATACAATACATTAGTTATTGTAATTGTTTTACATCACAGCAATACAATACAACAGTTATTGTAATAGTTTTACATCACAGCAATACAATACAATAGTTAATGTCATTGTATTACATCACAGTAAAACAATACAATAGTTTTAGAGCTTCAATGTATTGTTAGAAAAAAAAAACAATACAATAGTTATTGTAACTGTTTTTATTCACAGCAATACAATAACCATAAATAATATTATAATTGCATCTCTGGTATTACAATTCAATATTATTGAATTGTAATTGTTATTGTATTTAATTTTTACAATAACAATAACAATAGTCCTAATCCTAATTGCTACAGTTCAAATACATCATTGCTACAGTTCAAATGACACCGTTTCTACAGTTCAAATGACATCATACTGTATAATCAAATGAACCTCAAAAGAATTCACAAATAAAATTTGACAAAGCCATTCACTTTTTTAAAATTAAATTGACATGAAAGCAAATATATTATTATAACGGAAATTTAGCACCCTTTAATTGTTAATTACGCAAAACTACTACTTAACAGATTTTTGTAATTTTTTGACACAATGAAGCTATTTGAATTATTTATTTCAATAATTTTTTACATTTTTATCGGACGCTTAGATAGAAAGCGAATATCTTTGTGAATACTTGACACTATCTGCTGGATCTTGTTTTGAGTTACTTTTTTTAAGGCGGCTATTCATTTTTTCTTAAAATCTTTTTTATTTGCAGCTAATTTCTTGCTTTTCAATAAGATTCATTTTACATTTGACCAATAACTTCCAATAACTCGCTGCTCAGGACAATTTGGAGGATTTGCTTCCTTAGGAACAAATCCATTCTAGAGACTTTTTGGAGTAGTGAATTATAGCCAAATCAGGCCAAAATATTGTGGGCATTTCATGTTTTTTAATGAATGGCAAATAGCGTTTCTTTAAGCATTCTTTTATAAATAAATCTGCGTTCAAAATTTTACGAGTAATGTATAGAGTACTTTTTAAATCACAGTTCAGATTGATTGCCAAATAAGAAACTTGGGAGAAATAAGGAACTTAGAAGCAAATTTTTCAGTTTGAATAAACTTGAATTTTTTTGGCAACATATCTACCTTTCGAATGATAAGAATATTGCTGCCCTGGCAATTGTGAAAAGTCCTTTTTGCAGTAGGTTTCATCGTCTTCAATTATGTACAAGTTTTCTCGGTTTAAAAATTTATATAACTTTTTTGAACAACAAATTGCTTTAATTTCTCCATCAATGGATCGCGGAGTTTTCTTATTATGATTTGGTTTATATTTCTGAGATCTAAGTACTTTTCCTATCAAAGCTTGGCTGCATCTAAATTTTCTCCCAAGATACCTCTGCGACTGACATGGATACAGTGAATGATTGATTTTGCTTTATACTTATCTTTAAATCCTTTGTTTTTTCCACTTTCAGCTTTCAATACTTTAAGTCTGTTTATATCGCCAAAAAATAAATCGAATTGATGATCGAGAAACACCGGTCAAGTTTGAAATGTCAACTTGTGACAATAAAGGACTTTGAAGAAAATTTTCTAAAACTTTTTTTCAATTTAATATTTGTTTACTCGTTTTAATCAGATAGCAATAATAACCAATACTTATTACCATTACAATAAAACAAAAACACATTAGTTTCCGTTTGCAAAAAAAAAAAAAAAAATTTGTCAAGTAATTTTTAAATAATTAACGATTAAAAGAATTTCATAGTGTTCAATCGATGTTTTGGAATTTCATCGTGTTCAACCGATATTTTGGAATTTTGTTGTGCTTAACCGATGTTTTAGAATTTCATCGTGTTCAACCAATGCTTTGGAATTTCATCGTGTTTAACCAATGTTTTGGAATTTGAGACCATGTAAAATATTTAACCCCCTCATTTCGATGGGGTTGTACTCATTACATGGTCATTACTCTTGAACAACAAAATCTTTTAAACGAAATTTTTTGATTATAACTAATTTTGAAACCTGATACTTAAAACTTTTAAAATACATTTTCTCAAGACTCAAAATGTAGAGTAATCGACATCGACATGTATATATGTAAAGTACAAATATCAACATGTATATATATATAGCATAATACACTCTTTATCAACATGCTGCAACAGTGTTGATGTTTGTACAAAATAGTAATTCAATATTGCAATACAACATAAATTTTAACAACATTATCTGGCAAAAAAAATCCTCTTTTACATTTTACATATATAATTTAGTGATTGATTATTAAATTCAAAGAAGCTGGGAAAACATTCAACAACTTATAAGCAGGAGAAAATACTGTTGTTATGATACTGTTGGGCTGGTTCTTCTAATGAGGTCTTCTCTATTTTAGAGAGGGTTTAAACTGTTGTACTAGATTAGGCTGTTTAAATGTTGTCCCATTGCATATCTCTTATTTTTACAAATACTACCATGGTCATTGCTCAAGTGAGCTTCATTATTTATTTCATCAACTAACTCAATCTCATGTGACTCTTTTACTGTAACTGATCCTTAATGGTCAAAAAAGATTTATTCGTCTAGGTTTTTTCCATGAATGGTGCTTTGGAATTCTTTCCCACCTTTCGTGAGACATATTTTCTGTAAACTGCTTCCTCTATAGGTCTCTTCTTTGATCTCTGTTCAAAATACGCAGATTAGTGGTAGAACAGTTTTTGCACAATCAAAAGGTTTTAAAACTGTTCACCTCTAGAGATTGCGTAAATCAACCTGTGTTTTCAGTATCTTTAATCAACCTGTGTTTTCAGTATCTTTAATCAACCTGTGTTTTCAGTATCTTTAATCAACCTGTGTTTTCAGTATCAAACATTTGTATGATAAGAGCAGCAGTTTACATGTTTAACATTATTCAATAACAATTCAGTAACAAGGTTTGTGTTTTCAGTAACAAGGTTTGTGTTTTCAGTAACAAGGTTTGTGTTTTCAGTAACAAGGTTTGTGTTTTTAGTAACAAGGTTTGTGTTTTCAGTAACAAGGTTTGTGTTTTCAGTAACAAGGTTTGTGTTTTCAGTAACAAGGTTTGTGTTTTCAGTAACAAGGTTTGTGTTTTTAGTAACAAGGTTTGTGTTTTCAGTAACAAGGTTTGTGTTTTCAGTAACAAAGTTTGTGTTTTCAGTAACAAGGTTTGTGTTTTCAGTAACAAGGTTTGTGTTTTTAGTAACAAGGTTTGTGTTTTCAGTAACAAGGTTTGTGTTTTCAGTAACAAAGTTTGTGTTTTCAGAATTTAGGGTTAAGAAAGTTGTAAATATAATAAAAAACATTAAAAAAAAAAAAGGAATGCAATAAGAAAAATGGCTTCTAAGAACATCATTCTGCTACCACAATAGCCAAGCCTTCTACTTTATTATCTATACCCCATATAAAAATTTTAAGCATTTTAGTATTTTAGTAAATTTTAAGCATTTTAGAGTATTTTAATAATCCCATCACGTTCACGTTCATACCCAGAGTATTTTAATAATCCCATCACGTTCAGGTTCACGTTCATACCCAGAGTATTTTAATAATCCCATCACGTTCACGTTCATACCCAGAGTATTTTAATAATCCCATCACGTTCACGTTCATACCCAGAGTATTTTAATAATCCCATCACGTTCACGTTCATACCCAGAGTATTTTAATAATCCCATCACGTTCACGTTCACGTTCATACGAGTATTTCTGAGTAAGAGACAAATTTAAAAAAAAAATTTCTGAATTTATTAAAATATGAACATCTGTAGTATGAATTTCAGTTACGTCACTAACTACATTGTTTAGTGTTGTATCTTACTTATGGAAACTAACAATTTACAAGGGTTATGTTCAACAATTTCATTTCTTTATTCTGAAAAGAAGTAAAAAAAGCAGACCCATGAATTAGAGATTAAATGTTAGACTTACTTTAATTAATGACACTGATGAAAACTTACCAAAAGTCTCTAGAACCTAACATCTGATATAAGATACAAGATTTAGTAAACTGAATAACAGAACTTGAAATTAGGCAGGACCTTTTTACATTGGTTTCTTGGAACAACAAAAGGACATTTGTTTTTAAGAGAAATATTCTGCTCGAGATGGTGAAAACTGCTTGAGATGATGAAAAATGTGGAGAAGAATGAGGCTTGACCTAAAATTGAAGAGAAAGAATAAAAGCTTTCAAATTTTTATTCTAGAAGGAATAAAAGCTTCAGGGATGCACATTATGCATACATATTATGGATATAAACATATATGTTTGCTATTTATTTAGATGTTGGCAGACAATATCCTTACATATTTATATAAACTTCAGTATTTATATGGTGTGGTATTTGCTGGAAGAGAAGATGATCAGATTATGATAATGATGATGATGGTAATGATAATAATGATGATGGTAATGATGACAATGATGATGGTAATGATAATTATGATGACCATGTTGATCATAATGATGTTTATATATGGATATATATATAAATATAACATGAATTTTGAATTAAAATATACTCAAGGATGTATAAATGTTTTTGCAGCCCCGGTCACAAACGAGGCCCCTGCCCCGGTCTCCTCAGAATTTTCTTCTTTTATGAAATTACTTTTATGAAATACAGTACTTTGTATTTTGACTTAATAAGAATAAAATAAAATAAACAAAATAAGTCAATAAGAAGGGGAAAAAAAAAAAAAAGGTTTTCAGTTTTTTGTCAAAGAAAATTTTTTTTCAACTAGTTTAAGCCAACAAACTTTAGAATTGTTAAAATATTTGGTAAAAATGACATAGTTAGCAATTGTCAAATAAACTATTCTTTGGTCAAAAATAATCTATTGGTATTGTATATACAAATAAGTTAAAATAAATTCTGTATTACATTTACATAAGTTAAAGTATTTTGTCTTTAAATTATGTTTAAAATGAACTATAATAATTAAACTTGTGTATTTATAATAAACTGTGTACTTATAATGTTTAAAAGTAAAATTTTATAATGATCTTAAACAGAAATAATTTTTAAAAAAGTGAATAAAAAAACACAAAAGAGAATACTTATCCGTCACCAAAGAAAGTTTATCTGTCTTTGGATTGTATCTGTCACCGACTAGTAGTTTCAATTTACGACGAGCATGATCATCTAAATCTAAATCTTTCAGCTGAACCTAAAATGAAAGCTGACACATGACACAACCAGCATTGTGGGTCAATCCTGTAAATATATGACAAAAAAAAAGTAGCGAAAACAAAATATTATATAATTAAACTTAACTTGATCATAGTATGCACTTAAATATCACATGCTTAAAATATAACCAATCACATGCTTACAATATGCATTTAAATGTCACATGCTTACAAAATGCACTCAAACATCATATGCTTACAATATGCACTCAAATATCACATGCTTACAATATAACCAATCACATGTTTACAACATGCATTCAAATATCACATGCTTACAATATGCATCCAAATACCACATCCTGTCAAAGTATTCTCTGATAGGAAATATGTTAACTAAAAATATTTTATTTTTAAAGCATTAAAACATGTGTTACTATAGTAACAGAAATAATAAAATGTAGTACAACCAAAAAATAATATTTATTAAAATAAAATTTCAATATATTTTATCTCATATTCTTTATAATAATATTCCTAATAATTCTTAAAAACTTTTTAATTTAAAATAAGTTAAAAAAAAATAAATTAAAAACTAGTTTTGTTTCTGGTTATACAAGATTTCAGTATTTTTTCTTGGAAGTCCAAATGTTACTTTTTGTTTTACTAATGCCCATGGTTCAACACGTGTGAATTATGGACAGGTTACCATAATGCCATTTCCTTATTTATATCTGACATTCTGGAAGAATTAAAAAATCTTTTTAAGTCATGATGCAATTTCCTGAACCTGACCTGTTTTGCAGACTAGGAATGAATAATTTACCTGCTTCAGATCTTATATATTCAAGTTTTTTTTCTTACCATCAATCCCAATCTTTACATTATTTTGTCCCTGTAAAAAATACTGTCATATTTGGGCAGCTTCCTCTAATGGTGCCCTTTTTCTTTTAGAGAAT